TTTTTGTCCTCAGTATTTCTATTAGTTTATTTAATTATTCATATGCCAGTGTCTATATAATGTTTCTTTACAATTGCAAATTTGGTTTATTAAGAAATAACCTGCATGAAATTGGTTTTTAGCCCCTAATGAGCCACAAAATATTAACCATTCACAATGGTACTTTGGATATTTTAACTTTCTAGTTTCTCAGTTAGTTTTAAATGGTAAGCATCACAGTTGATTGAAGTAAAATTATGATGTTTTAGAAATGAAATGAGCAAAGTAGACTTTAGTAATGTGCCATGATTGCCATCAATTAAAATTCTTAGAACATTTTATGGAAATTGTATTAAAAAATGACAAAAAGAAATTTTAGTTACAAAGCTGTTTGAATAACATAATTTCTTTTTTTGAAACTGTGGCATCCAAGGTGAAATATGTAAAACTAAGCAATTTTGAACACATTTATAACAAGTCTCTGTGCAAATTAAATACTTCTTGGTAGATTTAGATTTAAATTTTTAACTAACTTTTAGATCTTTGAGCATTGCATAACAAAAGTAATGACTTTTTCTCATGTTACTTATCTTCCGGGAATCAGGAGCATGGCTCTTAAATTTGTATTTGGCAACACCCAACACCTGACATTTTGCCCCCCCCCCAGCAAAAAGTCCCACCAGCCGCCACTGAGTATGGTTATCATTGTTTGTTCAGTGGTGTTCAAGTGTTATAATCGTGCATTTGTTCTGTTCTATAGTTGTATTGTGTGTGAATGTTCCCAGGGGCGTTTAATGTGGTTGCAAGGATTTGTTCTTTATTTGTTGGTTATGATTATCTATCGTTTGTAAAGAAAGATTTTTAAAGGAGAAATTGGGAGATGATGGATTGTGGTAAACATGGTAAAATGAGAGCGTAAAAATTGTGTTCTAGACAGAGTATTTATTCTTTTGAATTCTTGTTTAATATGTTGTAAATGAGGTCTCCCTAAAATTATGTGGCAGAGAACCTGTTTGTTACACAGTAGTTCATAGTCATTGACATCAATGCAAGAATTTTGACAGGGACATGTGTAACGTTTTAGAATTTGTAAACTTCACTTACTGTTATTATTATGTTATAGCTCCCCTACGAAGCCCGCTACGCAGGCTTGCCAGTGGCCCTATGGTTCAATATTAAGATTAGCCTTGGAAAGACAAGAGTGCCATAAACCTCGATTTCAAAATGAGGAGAGGTCACGTGATAAAAAAATTGCTTGCACTCCTGTGCGAATTAAATTCGCACTTTTGTGACGATCACTAGGAAGGGGGGAGCCTAAAAAGAAAGATGGGGTTCGTGCATCAGAAAGGATTCTTACTCAAACAACAAATTAACAAAATACAATTCATGGACAACAGCTAATCTTCATAGATTTAGTAATTTTCTCCACAGTCATGGTTTTTTCTTGCTTCTTTGTTCGATTTAACGCCAGCATAAATGCCATAAATTTCCAGCATAAATGCCAAGAATCACGTCTGCGTCATAATTATGCTTGAAACGCTCTTTGATCTAGATGAAGAACAAAAAGAATAATGAAGATGTTATTCAATGGTTAATGAAAGCACGTTTTAAGGAAATCGATAGTAATAATGCTTTGTATGTAATAAAATTAATAAAATAGTAATAGTAATAAAATTTATGAAAAAACGACCGGTTTTTAGTGTAATTTCTTCGAAATAAGCGGAAAATCAATTGAAATTGTATTGTTAGTGGGCAATACAGCCAATCCATATTATTTTCAGCACAAAACTACGCAAGAGGTAAAAAATTTAGAGAAACACGTTCTTCGTGGGTCTTGCGACCCCTTTTAGCAACCGGTTTTTAGTGTAATTTCACCCAAATAAGCATAAAGTCATTTAAAATGCTTTCTAGAATGATCCATTTACAATTCCGAAAATGCTCTCAAAGCTAGAAATAATTTCCACTCAAGAGGCAGGGAAATCCCATTTGTCTCAGTGGGAAAATCGCACAAAAAGTGAAATTTTAATCGAAAAATACTCACTTGTTGTTCCAAAAAGTCAGCAAATCCTATCGCTCATCTACGAAAAAAAGGTGGTTAGAGAAAGTTGCTGCAAAGGATTCTTGTTAGGCATAAAAAGTTGAAATTCTAAATACTTTGATTGCAATAAAGCCATTTTGGCACATCCAGTTTCCTTTTAGCACAAAACCACGAGAAGAGGTAAAATTTTTTCGTGCGCGGCGGGGGTGTAGCGGCCGGTTTTTAGTGTAATTTTATCGAGATGAGCACAAAATCATTTGAAATAAGTAATATAAAAAAGACGTAAGAAGAGCAACGCTTACTTGTATTCGCATGCCATCGATTCTGATGCCAGTGAAGAACGGGAACAGCCAGCAGCCATCGGAGAACCAAAAAACGGGCAGCAGCGCATGTACCGTACGTAGCTACTAAAACGAAAAAGAAGATCGTCAAAAGCATGAATTACATGGCTCTTGCAAACGAAATAAGAAACGGGGCTCAATCTCCGATCAATAAAAAATCAGTTGATAAAAAAAGCCAAGGAGACTCACTACTGTAGTTGTAGCTGAAGCTGTAGCACAGAATACGACCGTCGAGGACCGCTTCGAGTTCGAAAAGGAATGCCAAGCAGCAGTGACTGTAGATTTATTATTAGCTATCCTCTCCTCTAACTAAAAATCCAATGAATCTCTTTGTGAAAAGCGAAACGAATTTTAAAAGCCTCCGTTCAAATTGAAGGATTGCTGGAGGAAGAAGTTTTGAAACCTTTTGTAGAGAGCAAGAGAAAAGAGAGAGAAAGAACCTTTAGAAAGGCGGGACAAAGACTGCGGAGAGCACTAATCGTGATTGAGAGGATTTTGAATGAACCCGGGAGAAAACCGTAAATATCTATGGTGGCCCAGCATTCTCATTCCAAAAACAGAAACATATTTTATAAAATATAAAAAAATTACAGATATTTGTGGTAAATTTGACATTCAATTCAAACTATTATGTCAAAAAGCAGAATAAACATAATAAAAAAATAAAGAAACATTTCCATTTCCAAGTTTCAAAAAGAATATTTTCTTTTTGTTTCTGAAAATCACATTGAAAGTTGTCAAAAGAAACATTTTCGTTTTCATTTTCAAAATGAAATGTCACGATCGGCCCAGCGTTCTCATAGACCGCAATGCTTTGCAAGAATAAGCGCCTCCTTTCCATACAGCTTTTCGCGCCCTTTTTGCTTCGCCTTGCCACTTAACAGCAAACCTCATGGTAGCCTATTTAATTTGAATTAATCATGAAGAGGCAAGATACTTGGGAAAAACTTTTTAAGGTTATGAGTAACAAAAGAACAAAACAAAACAAGGCATCAATTAAAAATAAAAAACTCGGATCTGCCCCACACGGGATTGTCGTCCAGAAGCTTTCTTCAAACCCGACAGCAAGCAAACCTATCGTCCGATTCAGACACGCGAATTTGTATCATTTGAGTTTGATGAAATAACTCTACCTAACTTGAAGGGTGCTTGTGCTGCTCATTTTGGCCTCCCTGTCAGTACGTGTGACGTGCTTGTCTCGAACAAAGGTTCCTTGTGCACAAATATTCAACAGATACCACATTGGAAAGATAGGAATTTTTTTCTTCTTTTTTTTAATAAATTTAATATCAATTAGTTTGAGGTTTGCGGTTCAAGCTTCTTCACTTTACTTGGATTGGGTTCACTGTCAGGGCTTTATAGATTAAGTAAGGGTGTTAGAGTTGAAACTAAAATTCAGGTTTTAATTTAGGGGGCTTCAGCCCGCCAAGCCCTCCATAATTTCTGCCAGGATGCATTCTATCTAAAGTCTACGCCAGACATTGCACCAGAAGACCTCTGCACCTAGATGCAGGAAGTGCACTCGGGGTGGGTTCGGTTAGGTGCAGGCTGTGGGGTAGGATTAGGGCAAGGGTTAAGCTTGGGTAGTAAGGGTACTGGGTACCTATTCAGATCCAAAAATAGTTGATCTAATTGCCTTCCCTCCCAAACTACTTAATTTCCAAACTCTACCCCTAATTAGCCAAAAAGAAAGAAACTTTTAGTAGTGAAAAATATCCTAATTTCTTATAAAAAAGAGTGTATACTCATATTTTTTATTTTTAACTGAAAAGTTCTTTAGAGCTTTGTAAAAAATGAGGACATGGTCTTCTATTTTGCCAGCCCTATGAATTCAATAACAAGTTAACCTCGCACCAATGACGTGAATGTTCCAACTCTACCCCTTCTTTTCTCTTCTCATCCTTAAAGTCTTTCATTGTCACCAAGGGTCATTACATCGTGAACGAGTCCTCTGGGATCATGAAGGCCATACTGCTCTCTGATTCTCTTGGGCATAGCACAGTAGCCTAATAACTGGTCTGGACCATCTTTTTCTGCATTAAATGCCTCACCCACTTGATCTACAGTTGTATCTTAGTCGACAAATTTTATTCCAAAATGTTTCATCTTCCAAGAAGGTGGGTACGTTTTGGGCTGGTCCGAAAAAATGATATCAATTTATCCACATGGAAAAATTTGGCAATTCTTTGAATTCTATTTGAACTCTGAGAAGCGCAATCTGAGTCTATATGCAACACAGTGATTATAAAATGCAAAGGGAAATTTATCTTCTACTTGCTTTTGCACCCCCCTCAGTTCACCACTCATCGCTGGCGCCCTGTCATAGGACTGCCCGATAAGTTTCTCCGCACGGTTCTCTGGAGTAACTTGAAACTTTTCAGTGTGTCTAAAAGAATGTTTGTTAACGGATCTGCTGACTGATTGCCAGAAGAATCTACAAGCCCTAACAAGTGTTCTTCCACATTTCCATCATAAAGGAGCCTGACTGAAACCGCTGACTGCTCAATGTTGCTTGAATCACTCGTATCATCCATCATGACCGCAAGGAACCTTGAGTTATCAATCCTCTGTTGAATCTCATCTCTTACACATACACCCAATAAGATCATTTTGAGGCCCATGAGACATGTACGTTACGTGTTGTTTTGTTAGAAAATCCCGCAGGTCCTGGCTGTAATTGTCAATAAGATCTAATAGTTCAATGAAATTTCCTCTATTTGATGACGTTGCAGATTCGTCATGTGCTGTAAACGCAAGTCCTTGGGCTGTTAAAAACCATTTCACATTGATGTGGTTTTCCAGCATTCAAGCGTAGCGTGAGGCATTATTATTATGTTGAGCAATTTTTCTTTGCCGTCGAGATATGCGCTTTCAAATTTTGATGTCATACAGCAATATTCCAGAGGTTAGATCCAAATGACTGAAACCCATTTTCTTGAACAAATGGAACTTTCTTCATCTGAAAGGTGGACAAATTGGTGAAATTCTCAACAATTTTCTTCGTTTCAAATAAAATCATATAAAACAAAATTAAATAAAATCAGAAATTTATTTGTTTCAGATAAATTTTGACTTAAATAAACTTTCTTGAAAATATCAGAATGTCTACCAACCCAAGAGTTCTGAAGCGATGCCTCTACGACAAGTCTTTCAATTACGACTGTAGGCTTTGGTTTCAACGGCCTTCGGCTGGCAGAGAAAGACCATCAGCTTACAGTGAAAGGCCCTATGCCCGTAGCTGTAGCCTCACTGTTTGTTGCTATTAACGGCCATCTTTTAATAGCAAAATCATATCAGCAAGCAAAGAACGTTGAAAACTTGCATTTTAAGGACATAAATTTCTGATAATTACACATTCTGAATTTAATAAACCCAAGCATCAATTAATTCTACTCAACCTAAGTGCAAAATTAACTTTACGATGAATCTAGAGTAAAAGCTCGAGAATAAAATAAAACTAAATATAAAACTAAAATTAACTAAAATATAGAATGTTCTAAAATCTTACTTTAGAAAGATCTCCCATCACCAAGCACGGCCAGCAAAAATAGGTACTTTTCTTTTCGTCTCCACATATCCAAGAGAAAGCCTCATAAACAGCATCTGATGAACGGTTTTTTAGAGAAACTTTAGGGCATGGCCTTCCATCGTTTTTTAAACAAAGCAATTCCATCATTAAGAAAATCCAATGTGCCAGATAATTTTTCATCCACTTGGCAATAAGGGTCTTTGGTCGGAATTGGATTGTCACCTCTCTTTTGCACAAAAATGTGCCAAAAGTTCCGAAAGCCTCCAATTCTCAGTTTTTTGCAAATAACTTTTTTCACAGACGCGTTTACCACATACCCACATAAATCGAAAGTACTCGTCAAGGTGCATCGATTGATGTTATGGATGTTCCAAAAAAAGTTTAAAATAAGGTGCCATTTTGGCACAAAGTTGAAAATGTGCCATTTTTTGACGTTTTTGCCCATATCTCTGGCGATATGTATGGTACCTCGGCTTGCAATAGCTCATTTGAAAGGGCGTGTCACGGTGGTCAGTTTGATGTACTAGGCTTTGGATTTGGGCATGGCCGTGACGTCATAGTTACGTCACAAATGGGAATTTAGTCTCGTTTTAAAAAAATTGTTTCTTTGTTGTAAAACAAGTGTTAGTGTGGGTAATATGTAAACAAGGAATGACAATAAAGTGAGCTTACATCTCCTTAGCTTGATTGGGTTACTTGGAAAGAAACACCCCCACATCAATAGCCCAGGCCTTTTTTCAGTGTTGGAATAAATAGGTGGAGAGCAAGTCCAACAGCACCAGGCATCCAAGCTGACCTTGTGCTCGTTCAGTTGTTGAAAGTTTCTTTAAATTGCAAGATCTTGGCAATCCAAGTGCAAAAAATCCTTAGATATATTTAAAAAAAAAAATTTTGACAGTGAGTGCCAAATTCTAATAAAAACCATTTCTAATAATGTCACCAGCAGCTTGCCAACAACAAAAGATAAGGGTACATCTCGCACATTTTGAAGCATCAACCAGTGTTGAACATTTAGCTCTGTCTGAAGCCTGACTAGGGCTAGAGGCCCATCAACAGGAACTTGAAATTGAGACAGGAAACGTTAGATGGTAGAGGCTTTGAACATTAAGAACTGTCACAGAATAATATGCAAATTATGCAACTGTAAATATTGTAACTGTACTAGCTTTGACTAGTAGCCCTAAAAAGAAAAAAAATGCATACAGGTGGCAAAACCCACAAGCTGCCAAGGTCTGTAAGTATGGGAAGGCTAGGGCATTGCTGTTCCATTCCACCACAGTAATAAGCATGATAATTAGCAAATTATAATTAATGGCCTAGCAGGGACCTATGTGCAAGACAAAACAACCATTTGGAAGAGTATTAATGCCTACCCTGCAGGTATAAAGAAATTTGATTCCAATTTTGTTAGCAAATTAGGTCCAAGCTTATTACAACATAGTTAATCAGCTATACAAAATTCACTGACTTTGCTCAGTTAAGAAAGAGAGTAAATATTGTATAAAAGGATTTATGGATTACCACATATACATCTATAGAACGCATAAACTTAGCTCTGGTGATGCTTATGGTGCCACACCCATCCTCCTGTACGCTCTAAACAGTTAAAAATTCTGAGTGCATTGAAAATGCTCCTATTCCCCAGCATAGGCGTAGACTTGCAATTTTTTCAGGGGGGGGGGGCTCAAAAAATTAATGAAAATTTCTAATGGCAGCTGCTGATGTCACAGGATAGAAAGTGGATTAGCTAAGGGCTTAAAGGTGATTTTTCCGTGCATTTTTCATTATCGAGGAAGAAGAAACACACAAAGGAAATGATTGAAAGTTTATTTTTAAATCATAATCAGTTTCTTTAGGTTGAGATCATCAGTTCTATTTAGGCACCCAAAATGTACTCTTTCTCACGACATTTCTTGGTATGAAGGTTTCCACAAGTTCATCAGTTGACAGTCTCATGACCACTTCTTTATGTTTGTTCATTATTGCAACAGCATTTAATCGTTCTTGAGACATTTGCGATGGTAGGTACGTTTTCAGGCGCCCTAGACCCGAAAAAGATCTTTCAGCTGTGCAACTTGAGACAGGCAAGGTCAGTATCATCCTTACCAACTTATGACCTCTTTGACCATTGATCGAAACACTTCATCTTTGATTAAAAAATCAACAACACATTGAATGTCTTCCAAATGTACCTCTTGACATCTGGCCTGGCAATTAGCATATCTCTGTGTAGCAGCAATCTGTGGCCATCTACATCTTTACCAAAGTGTTGTTGAATGTAATCCACCGATTTTTCTTCTCCAATAAAAAAACTGCTCAACTCTCTTCAGTTGTGCTGATGTTTCATCAGGCTCAAATCGGTCGGTCAGCCAAACAAGCACACTATCCAAAATAGTAAAATACATTTGCCTGTAAAGGTCTTGCGCAGTGACTGGAAAAAAACCAAGCTTCTGTACCCTCATCAATGCGTCTTGGAACCTTATGCTGTCTCGTTAATTTTGGCTCCTTTATTGATCCATTTCTAGCAACAGCATCTAATATTGACTGCCAAATGCGAAAAAAGGGGCATCAGCTCTTGCATTTGATACTGACTTTCTGATACAAGTAATTGTTTTTTCTGATTTGCTGAAGGAAAGCTGAATTCCCTGCAACGTTGAACTGCCCCCTTCAACAATGGTAAGTACCATCTTCAAAATCTCTAGCAAGAAGAAGCTGTTAAATTTGGGAAGAGACTTCAAAAAGCCACCAGCTTTTACACCATTTGCGTTCTTCTCTTTCAAATTAACTTCTTCAAGCCATCTCAAAATATCAGTTTAGTTACTGCTAATTGCTTGTATAGATACCAATCGGATTGTCCAACGAGTGGGGCAAAATGGTCTCAAAGACTTTGATTGGTGTTCTTCATGCTGGTCCTTGAAATGAGAAAACCAAGCCAACCTTTTAGGGGAATGTCGGATGAAATCTGTCAGTTCCTGAACCATCAAGCTGAATTTTCAGTTGCTTTTGAATGGGATTTCTTTGAAACTAGTGATGGGATTGGGTTATTGTTAAGAAGCGTGCTGCAATGGCTAGTCTACAAAGAATAACAAATAAACTTATATTATCGGCATCAGAAATCTTTAAAATTTGCCAGAACGAAATAAAGGGGATCTAATTTCAATATATTCCTCAAGAAGAGTTTGAGCTTGAGAAGAGACATCTTGCAGAGCGCTTCAATGATGCAAAGACGGTACCAGTAACATGTGGCTCCCAACAGTTTCTGTCATTGGATACAAACACAATAGCTGCCAAGCCAGTTTTTGAGGATTCAGAGAATGTTTTGCGGTGTAGCTTTTCTGGAAATAAGTGCCACCATTAAAAGGAAACATTAGCAAGTTTTTAGTGGGTCTCCATGATGAAAAGCCTTTGTATGAGACATTATTCTGGAGATGGAAGATGTAAAGGCTAAGTTTGTGAACCAACAATTCAGGCTGGGTCCCTGATTCAATTGCGCCTGCTTAGGTGAAACCACCAAAACTATTAACAATGACAGGTAGACACTACTGCCTGGAGAGAGAAGACAGAATGAGAATTGAAAAACTGGCTAGCAATTATTATTCAGTTTGTTCCTGTTAGTTATAGAATGGTGTACATGAGTGTACACCATTCTGAAACGATCATCTGCATCTGATTCGATGCATCTGATTCGATGCATCTGATTAAAAGTAAAATCTGCTTCTAAACAACATTGAAGTAAGAAGTAAGAGAAATAGAGTTGCATTAGATTGTAACTGAAAAGCGTGCTGCCATGGAATATTCAGTTTATTAAGATCATATTGTCTTTATGGGTTTTGTAAATAAGAGTGAAAACGTCAAACGTTTATATTTGGTGAATAGGAAGCTTTTCAAAAACTTTTATTACCTTCAAAAATATATTGCAAGATCATTTATTGTATTGTATCCAAAGACATGTATTGTTGTATCAAAGAGTTCTGTAAAAACGACTCTGTTTTCCTATAGACTGTTTTGAGATTCTATCCTAGAATGCATTCCACGCTCATGGCGGCCATGTTGGTGGTACACTGGAGGTAGGAAGTAAACACATCGCTGTGGTCGATTCTTCTGTACTTTAAACTTGTGTTTAGAATAGCTGACCGTCTGAAGTGATGATATTCTGATTGTATCAGCGAATGGACCAAAGAACTAGACGCGTTACCTAATGTCTCCTACTTTGACATCGTCAATTATTTGGTCCAAGCCCAATATTTTCGATGGAAGAAATGAAAAATTATAAAAGCCTTGAATGTTATGATTTCTTCATGAGCGGATGGGTATGTGACATTAAAACGATGGTAAAACTGGTGGAGGGTAGTACTGGAGAGCAAAAAGTCTTCGTTGTTCGTGAAAAAGGTAAAGACCAACCTAATGTTAAGTCATTAACGTTAAGTTAAATTTCAATACCACGGTGCCATTCAAATTGGGTTCGGAAATCATAAACTATGTTAAAGTTTCTCTTAACTGTGTGTTGTAATTTCTGCTCTTAATTTTATAACTTTAAAGCTTTAAAACTTCCTGGTTTTTTGTTATTGTAATTGACTTTGATTTTGAGCCTGGCCTCACTAACTTGAAAGATTTCTTTCAGTTTTTGATGAGGCAATTTTGCTATTTTATTTTGATCAATACACACTTTTTACTTTTAAGGTGAACCATTCTCAAATCTCAAAGACTCAGCGAGGCTCCACTTAAATGCTGGATAATGGTTTTGGGCAACAGTAAAATTTACTCTGCTCACTGTAACTGTACGGCAGGAATTGGAGAAAGTTGCTCTCATGTTGCTTCTCTTCTCTTTTTCATTGAAGTACACGAATACGGGAAACAACAACAGTGACCGGAAAGCCAGCATACTGGAAACTACCTGCATCAAAGAAAGCTGTGGAATATAAGCCAATTTCCGATATTGACTTCCATTCTTCAAAGAAAAAGAAAAAAGACTCTGATGATATATCGTATCGAGCAATACAAAGAAAAGCTTTTATGTGAAATCAAAGGGAAACTCCATTGAGCCCCCTAGCACCAGAGATATCAAAAACTTTTTAGGTGCATTCGCTGCCTGCAAAGCAAAGCCTGAATTTTTGTCAGTACATCCTGATTATTTTGAAGGGTTTATCCCAAAATGCCTCAGCAAGGACTACCCTAGGTTGATGTCAGATTGTTTGATGATCATCCAACCTATCATGGGAGTGCATCCAACCTATCTTATGATAAGCTTTTAAAGCAGTCTGCAACTGTACTGAAAAGTCTCTTGCCTAGTGAAAACCAAATTAACAAGGCTGAAAAAGACACACGGGGCAAGCAAAGTCTAACTTGTGGTTTCAGTTGCACGCTGGTTTTATAGCAGCATCAATAGCAAAAGAGGTTGTGAATGCTTCACTAGAAAAGCCACCTATGTCATTATTAAAAAAGATTTGTCACCCAGAGGAATGCAAATTCAGCACCTCTGCAACAAGGTGGGGCACTGACCATGAAGAAGATGCTCTGGAAGCTTATAAGTCCATTATGTTGTCACAGACAGAAGGCATTGATATAAAAAAATGTGGTCTCTTTTTGAGTATCAGTTACCCATTTCTTCGAGCTACACCAGATGCCCTAGTAGAGTCAACAGTACATGGCCTTGGTTGTGTTGAAATAAAGTTTCCATTTACATTCCGGGACATTGTTCTAAATGACTGCATTACAAAACCGCTATTACTAAACTTCTGGAGTCATTTGATGGCAAACTTCAACTGCGAAGAAGCCATGCCTATTATCATCAGGTTCAAATGCAAATGGGCCTGACAAAAAGAAAATATTGTGACTTTGTGGTATGGACAACCAAAGACATACTTATTGAAAGAATCAGATATTATGAACATTGCTTCTCAAATATTGTAGCCAAATGTGAACTATTTTTTACGAACATTGTATTGCCAGAGTTGATTGGAAATTACTTTAGCAGATCATTTGAGAAAAGGAGAACTACCATTCTCAGTTCAGATCATTATTACATGTAATTAATGTGAATAATCTAGCTTTGTAGACCACAAGTATATTAGAGGAAACTTTATATTTTTCCACACGTGACCCTTACCAAAAGTAGCACCTTTTCTCTTCTAATGAATGACATATTTTGAAATACTGCCCCAAGCCAATTTACCAATGAATATGGCTACAATTGATGCACTTTTAACTTATTTGCATTTTCATATGATCTTAGTTCTCCAACCAAATGTAGATTTTTAATACAGAATCAAAGCATTTCCTCCAATAATGTCTCATTTTTGTTAAGCATTTGGTTCTTATGAAATCTCTTTAATATTTAACTCTAGTTCCAATATATTGCCTGATAAACCTTGCCCAATATATGAAGCTTGAAACTCAGAGTTGCGACTTAGAACCATCCTATTATTTTTTTCAAGCTTGGACAGCTCTGTCTATATAGTATTGACAGACCAGCAGAACAGTAATTATCATGCTTTACAATTTATTTCTAATCAAATGGTACTACAGAAGGATTTATCAAGGAACAGAAGGACAAAGATTTATCAAGGAACGAACAACTGTAACAACTTTATCTAAAAGGGGTTTTTCTTCTTTTGATTCGTTATCAAATAGTCTATAGGGAAGGGTGCTACTAAGAAACTGGTATTTCTGTCTGGCATTGCTAATCATTCTTTCCACATGGATCCGTACATTTGCAATCTTTCTTATTGTTTGTACTTTATAGGAGCTCAACTGCTTTTTGCCCTTTGTAAATACTGAAATCACAGTGTTGGCACCTTTAACAGCTGTAATTTCTTTAATGTTGAAGCCATGATCTGCAAGAACAAGATCACCATATGATAATTTGTCTAGAAATATTGAGTTGCTTGTTACATGCTTATCACTTGTGCGACCTCCCCAACCTTCAGATCTAGTTTCAAAATTTGAAATTTGAGAAGCTCCACCTAAATGCGTAGGTTAAGCAATGAACTAATTGGAGCTGAGTGTTTTATTGAAAGGAATCCCAAATTACTTGGAGGAATGCAGTCTACTGACCTCAGGTATTCTTATAACAACATTAAGTCAACAAGAGTTTTAACCAAAGCTGCATTCATTTGCATCATTCACCGAAGCGTTCTTACATACCTTAACATTTCAGTCGAAATTCAGTCAAGGCAACACAACAGACATTTGCAACAACATTGGTATAAAAAGTAAGTAAAGCTATGTGGATAACGTGCACAAGTTTATCGCTTGTTTATGATAAACTTTCGTTATGAACCTCAATCCCTCTCATTTTAAACAATAATAGCCTATTATTATTTGCAGAAAAAGGATGGAAACATTTCAGTACTCAAATGATGGCAGCACAGAAAAACAAATGCATTGTTCACTATGATCAGTTAAATATTCAAAATCTGAACCTAACAGCTATAAGAATTAAAACCTTCGATCGTTTGATCAAAAGTAAGGAGGCAAGACTACAACTAGGAGGTGTCCATGTACAGGGCAAGCAGATCGAGTTGATTCCTTCAGTATTTTCGCCCAATAGGCTATTTGTGCATCGACAATGTTATCAAAACTTTACTAAGGCAATTTCAATTGCAACTAACCAGTCCTGTTTCCGAACAAATGTATGAAATGTGACACTTCAAAACCTTTAAAAGTGAAAGGAAAGAAACAGGAAATCAAAGTTGTGCAAATTGTCTCGGCTTGCAAATCCATTCAGGATGCTGCAAAACTGCATGAGGACCAAAACATGCTTCTTAGAATTACAGGGCAAGACTTGATAGCAAAAGAAATCAAAATGCATCCTAAATGCTACAGAGAGTACACAAGGATTACATCATGAAAACCTACAAACACGGACGTCGTAACAGATGATAACACTGTCCCAGATTCCAGTGCTACAAATTTCCCCTCCGTTTGTGATTTCATAAATGATCACTTGATCGCTGGAAATCAATTCGCCGGAAATCATGAAGGTCTTGACAGAGATTTCAATAAAGATGACTGCAGACTGCGAGGTAAAGTAAAGGCTTCAAAAAGAATTTGGCGATCAAATCACTTTTGTCAGAGTATCATATCATGAGGCAGAAATTGTGATAAGTAGCAAAGCTCTTCTCACATCAAATTTTGCCCAATTTACAAAAGAAAGCAAAAAATTCACCTTGAAAGAGGCTGCGAAGATTATTAGAAGAGATATACACCTGACTCTTTATCAAAACAAGATCGCCAGCCTCCTCGCAGTGCCCAAGACTTTATCTTGCGAGTTATCCATGCAACCCATCATAGTCCAGTGGATGATGTTAAAAGTTACGTTGATTCATATTCACAAGATCTTGTGCATGCAGTTTCAAAAGGTTCATTTGTTCATTTTCTTGTAGGGGCTGGGCTCCACAGCCTAACTGGCCAGAAAACAATGATCAAAATTCTTGCAAGACTTGGCCATTGCTGTAACTCTGATAAAGTTAGACTAATTGAGACAGCTCAAGCCGAAGTAGTCCAGAAATTGCGTTCCATTAGGTATCCCTTACCACTGCAACCAGCAAATAGTGACATGTCTGTGCTTACATATTTTGGGTGGGCAGTGGCGAAGCTAGAAGTCATGCAGGTCAGACAATAATCTTTCACTCTATGACCAAATCTCTAGATAGTTTAGATGGCGTTTTTGAAGTTCTCCAAAATCAAATAAAATTATTATTGCGTACTTTTATGTATTATGTAACTCCGTAGGCGCAAACATAGGGTTTCTACATTTGAAACTTAATAAAGCTCAAGGGTTTCCAATTTAGTCATACAAATATCATAGGGACCCCAATTTAGTCATGCACTTTCAAATGTGCATGACTAAAATCCTATGTCTGGTCATGTAAAACCATGCAAAAGAATGGAAACAGCCCTGTCATGCACTTTTGGAGTCATGCACTTTTGGAATGGCATGACCATGACCTTGATTGCATCGTTTTCCCGTTTGAGTTCCAAAATTGAGAGTGAAGAGGAAGTATGCTAGTTCAAGAGGAAAGGGATTTTGTGAAATGTTACTCGCAAGAAATATAGCTGCAAAGAAATGAGGAAAAGTAACAGTTTTAATGAATTGATACAGCAAAATAAAAATTGGTAGTGGAACAGACTATTCTTGTTGTGGACTATGTTTGCTAACACATATTTAGGCCTATCTCAACGAGGATATGACATGCACGAACTAGGCCTACGGCGTCTGATAATAAGGCAGGCAATGCTCATATTGCAAGAAAAACGATGGAACAAACTGCCTGGTTTTAATATCATTTTGTTGCTGTGCTGATAATTGGCAAGCCCAAAGTATTCCATGCTTTGATAATGAAATGGCTAGTGGACTTACATGCTAAATTTCCATTGAAATATTCAGAATGAGTGTCTCTAGAACTTGTTGTAAGTAGAAGAAACACAAATGCTTCATTGTTGTTGCTTTTTAGAGACATGCAATGCAAGTTTGAGATACAACGAGGCATGAAATTTGTGTTGTCTTAACCTTTTCAGTCTTTATCTTATAATGGCCTTTTTTGTTACTGATGTTTTGTGAGATGAGAGTATTGAGATTGTTTCAGAGGTGAACTCTCCAGTTTCTGATTATATTCTGTTTTGATAAATTAAGAACAATGAATTTAAAAGAAATGAGGTGTAGCATGGACATTGACTAGGGGGCATTAATTTTTTTATTTGTAAAATTACACTATTTATACTTGTAACTACAATAGTTCTAAGTAAGGAAGTAGGGAAGGGTCATCAAAAGTGTATTTATCTTGTCAGAGCAAAAGTGTATTTATCTTATCTTTGTTTTGTCAGTGTATTTATAAGAGCAAAACAATTGAGACATTTTATATAATGTTGTGAGAATCAAATCTAACTGTGTTATGTTATCTAAAAAAGCCTTCCCTCAGTATCTGACAGTTTAATCAGGTGAATAAAATTGCTCTTGAAATAGTAAATATTAATAAATTGAATCTCAGAGTTTAAAAGCAAGTTAACATTAAAAACAAGTTAAAATTTTATTTCAGAATTTAAAAACATGTTTAGCACCTAAAGCCAAGGCTTCTTCAAAACAAGTCTCAAGAAAATTCAAAAAATTATTCTTTTGCAAATTTTTAAAAGTTTTATGCCCACCTAAGGCTTTACTGGGTATTTTCACAATAGCTGAAAACACTTTTCTCAAGGGAACTGATCTAACCTTAACTTAAATTGGGTACCTTGCAGTGGTGCCAAGAACCCTGTTTATTTTCTGCCCAAGTGCATGACCAACTCTCCAGAGCTGGCTTCGCCACTGCTGGTGGGACAATTTTGACGTACAGAAAGAGAATGTTCCAAGAAGCCTCCACACAACACAAGGCATCGCATTTCAAGTAGAGTCACCTGGCTGCATCAAAATCCTAACCAATATGGATACAGAGAAAACCCAGAGAAGAACTGTTAAGTGCAAACCACTTGCGCTGCCACAAAGAAAGATTGTATCTCATACAGAGCCAGTATTGTTTGAAGCAATTGCCAATGATGAATTTGAAGGACGGTAACACTGCAAACTTCTCTTTCTATGGAAGCTTATGAGAAGAATCTTTTATCAGGCTCCACAGTGTATTTCTCGCTTTGTTGGTTGGGTTGTGCTTGTTTTTGGAAAACCAGAGTCGAAGGCTGCGAATTTAACATTCCTATCTCTTATTGCCAAACCAAAAATACCTGCAAACTTCAAAAGTTTTTTGAGCAATGACAGAAATAAAGAGAGGCTTTTTGAGCTAATCGAACAAGTTTGGATTGAAGATGCAAACAGTCTTGACGATCAAGTAATTTACTATGCAAGAAAAGATTCTTGTGTTGACAAACAGCAAATGGGCAATTCAGGTGGAGGAGTTAAACACAAACCACGAGCAAGCAGATACCAAGATCTGCTACCTACTTCACCATGCCCTTACGGATGAATAATGGACAGGAGACAGTTTGCATTGTGCGCTCTTGTTCTGGAGATGTTGATATTCCTGTTATCCTTTTAGCCAACGAAGCTAAAAACTTGCATGTCTTCATTGATAACAGAACAGGAAAAAACCGGAAACTACTGGATTTAAATGCATGTGCGCTATCTAAATTACGAAAGCAAGCGCTTCTTGGCCTGCATGCATTTTTAGGGAATGGCTACATTTCATCCTTCTTGCGAAAAGGAAAGCAGGCATTTTGGAAGCTCGTGAAAGGCGATGAAAAATTCCAAAATTTATTCGCAGAGCTTTTTTAAAGTTTGTTTGCACACTGTACGGAGAGAAGCGATTCCTGTCAATGAATGAAGCAAGATGTGCTATATTCTGACGCACCTTTGAAAAAGACAACAAAGTAATTGATCTCTCTGTAAAAGCAGCCTTGAAAAACACATAAAGCGTGCAAACTTTGTAGCAAGGGTATGGAGACAAGCTTGGCAAAGCATACTCAATATAGAAGAACCGGACAATCACGGCTGGTTAGCAGATTTGTCAATTGATAGGTTGACGGAGCCCTATCCTAAGGACATTGCAGAATTTTATTTGCAAGCGAAGTAATGGAAAGCGAATCGGAAATAGAAAGCGAATAAACAAAACTAAAGTGCAATAATTAAATACAGTCAAATTGGGACATTTAGAGGTTTTCTGGAATTTGACCACCTGCGTCTAGAAAACGCCCCCCTAAATGCCAAAGCAACATCTGGTTTCGTAATCTAGGCAAAAAATTGAGTCAGGAAAAGTTAGTCTGGTTAATTGCCAGCTCAGGTGATAATGCTCCCCCTCTCACCTCTGGTCTAATAGGATGTCAATCATTAATCTAAAATGTGTAGAGATTGTATTTGGTTTGA